AAACAACAAATGTGTAAATTCATCATTTAAATAGTTTTCTTCTTTTTTCAGCAATTTCCCTGAGGCTTTCACCAAAGGGATCAATAAAGTTCTATTCTATTCTAAATAGTTTTCTTCTGCACTCTAAAAAGTAGTTCAAAAGATGTATTGTAAATGAAATGCATGATTGAAAACGAAAAAAAAAAAAAAAGAAAGAAAGAAGCAAATTAAATGATATAGATTATTTCTGAAGGGTTGGTTTGACATAATAATGTTGATAATTGCATCAATTCAATATTTTGTCTCATGTAAACTCATATTTCTGCGTTCATTGAGACAAAAAACAAAATTCAAGTTGATGTAGCTTCATTAAATTAATATCTACAGTCTCCTCTGGACACTGGAGCAACTATTTTTTATTTCGTCAACCTAAAAACTTGTGTGTTCATCATCATAGAAATTAAATACTCACCACACAACGATACCTCTTAAATAACATGGAATAATTAGTTGGACCAACCTAAAACAAACCCCTTAAGCTCCACACATTATTCTGAAGAGTTGGTGTGACCATATTTGGTAACTTCCTGTGCCTCTCCTTGAGGTTGAAGAATCATGAGTAGTTTTTATATTAGTACCAATATCACTACCTGTAGCTGTAAATGTCACTAAACAAACGCTCCAGGTGCTTTATAAAAGGTTTGCATTGAACTCCACTTTGATTTATTTTTTGCGATCAGTGCCACGAACACCACGACCTCAAGAACAATAAAAGAACCTGCCAGCGCTTTATAAATACTCTGTTGGTGCTTGTGTAAGTATTCGTCTTCGTCTTCACGCTTTACATTTACCGTCGGACTGTAAGCTGACCTGCGATCAGCCTTGACTTCCACCTCTGGCTGCTCTGAATACCTCACAGGATTAGACTCCGCTCGGTTCCGCGAGCATTCGTCAGCCGAGTGTCACGTTAACCTTAAACGTTAAAGAGTCGCGCGGCCACGTGGCAGCTACGCACCACATTTTTACCTGATTGCTTTTCTAAACTGAGCGAGACACAGCGAGGGGAGACGGTTTGTTCCTACCGCAGCCTGATTTTTCTTTTTAATTCTCCAGGAGTAAAAACAAGGAATCACACAAACATCGAGACGAGACAAAGATAAAGGAGACGAAGGCCGCTCCAGCTCAAAGCAAACTCAGTGATTAAAGTTGTGTTTGTGTGCGACTCAGAGGGAGTTTGCTCACATCTGGAGCTAAACCTGGACCCAAAACCGCAGCTTTATCCTCACGTTTAGCTACAAAAGTGCCTCTTCAGAAGCAACAGAGCAGCAAAGAGGCCTGAAGCTACGACTACAGCTGCAGACTTTTAGGTTTCAGAGGCTTTAATGTCTCTGAAACCTGCGTCCAGCTGCAGCCTGCAGTCGGAAGCTGAAGTGTTTATTTGCAAATCTTTAATGGATGCTGGAGATTGTGAGGAGAGCGTCTGAAGGCAGAGCGAGGCCTGAAAAAAGGCCGATAGGCAGCATAAAGAGAAGAAGAAAACACCGACAAACACTCAGATGTGACTTTATAGCCTTTATTTGTCTTGTCAGCAGCCACAATGTGCAACTTTCTCTCAGTGACTGACCCCAAAATGACGATCAATAATCTCTTTGGTTTGACTCGTAATCGACTAGAGGACTCGTGCATCAGCCGGTTTATCGTTAGAGCATCAAGGAAATGGTCAGGAGCACTTTGAATTAGATAAAAGCTGCATTTAAAAAAAATAAATAAAAAAAATCTACAACAATTTCAGGGGTTCTGAGTAAAACTGGAGCTGCTGTTTTCAATAAAAATGTAATAAAATGGTTCAAATTCAACATTGACATCTATAATATAATGTGCTGCTGCATTTGGTCACTTGTTTGTGTCGTTTTCCAGCCAGAAGAACCACATTAATCAAACAAAAACTGATTATAAATCAAACTGATTTGGCATCGGGACAAAGTCGTCTGAGGGACCACTTCCATAAACGTATGGTTACACAATAAAACAACTCATTTTCTGACTTAGATTCACCTTTAGAGTTGCAAACATCACTTTGAAGGCTTGTTTTGACATAATAATGTTGCATAAGTTTAATACTGTGTGTGATTTGAACTAAGATTAATTAGTTGATTAAGTTTCAGTTAACGTAACTTCATTAAATTGGCTTGATAACTTCATTTTCAAGTCTCATGACTCAACACTGGAGCGGCTTCATTTAAAAAAAAAAATCTGTCAGTTTAACAAGTTGTGTTCATCGTTATAGTAATTAAGCACACAACATGAAAACAATCCTTTAAGATAACACAAAAATACTAGTTGGAAGAACTTAAATTTTTAGGATTAGTTGATTAAAAACGAATTATTTTCTACCAATCTTTAAAAAAAAAAAAAAAACTTTGAAGAGCAAAAACTAATTTAATCAACTCAATATAGTTTGTTGGTTGAACATAATTTCTTTTGAAATTGTCTGAAGTCAAAATTGTTAAGTTTAACATAATTTCTTACACCTTTCATCAGCTCTATTTCACATTTTAGCCTCTAATAAATACGATGTCTGATCCGAACAGCAATAAAATGACGCGTTAAAAGTTGGATAATGTAAACAAACATGGTTGGAGAAGAAAATTAAAAGATGGAGGAGAAATAATTCATATTGTTGTGTGACTCTGAGGTACATTAGAGCACAATACGTTCATCATATCTCAATAAAAGTTCAATAAAGTGCAGAATTTGAGATAATCCTGATCATAAAAGCAGATTATTACGTCAAATCTCCGGATATCAGCTTCATTGGTTTACATTTAATAGAATAGAAATTCACAGTTTGTCTTTTTGTTGCGTCGGTTTGGGCGGTAACTTTGGTCGTCTGAGGCGGTTAAATAAATGGTTCAGTAAAAGCCAACATGAGGCGGGCTGGGCAGCAGGAAGTTTGCTGCGAGTCAACAGCTGCCTGGTTGGTTGGAGTGGGTCCAGTTCTGCAGGACTCCGGTCGGCTCACTGTGTCAACGCTGCTTCAGTTAATCTCTAAGTTTGCTGAAATTCTGCGACACTGATAACAAGCACAGGCCTGTTTGAGTTTCCTTATCGACTGACGTGACTCCATGTACGGTAAATAATAAATCATGCTGAAGTTATAAAGATTTTTCTGAATAAAATGTTCCTCAGAAGGTGAAGCTTCAGGTTGAAGAGGGTCCAGACTTCCACTTCTTGGTGGTTTTATTTATTTTTTCTTGACTGTTTCTTATGATTTGCTGCAGTAAATGTGCTTTTCTATTTGTTTAAATCCAATTAAGAGTAGACATCAAATCCTTTGTGTGAATGGCGGCTGAGAAGTCACACTGATGAGCAGCATCTTGTCCATTTTAACCATCATGTCATCCATCGTTCGTAGAAACCTTCTGATCAGAGAAGAACTAAACCTGCTGTTGTTTGTGTTTAGTTTTGGCTCAACTTGATGCTAAAGATGAAGCTTCATTCCGTCTGATTTTTTACCACAGTTTCTGCTCGACC